TTCTGGGCACAAAAAACACGAAGACTGTACAATGAATAACTACAGACCAACATCTTTCATGAACTTGGAGGCAAAAATCCTCAACAAAACACTAGCAAGGTGAGTCTAGCAATATAAATATTATTTATATGATAAAATGGAATTTATTTCAGATATGCAAGGGTGGTTCAATGTTAGAAAATCCACCAAAGTAATCCATCAGACTGACAGATTAAAAAGGAAAAAAAAAAATTATAAAGGGGAAAATCACAAGACATCAACTATCACACAAAGACATTTGACGAAACACAATACCCATTTGATAAGACCTTTCAGAAAGTTATGAATAGAGGGGAAAGAGCTTAACTTGATACAGGACATCTATAAAAACTCCATAGCTATATCATACTCAATGGTAAAATATGGCATACTTTGCTCCTAGATAAGGAATAATGCAAGTTCCTTCAAGTCTTAACACAATACTGAAAATTCAAGCCAGTGCAATACGACAAGAAAAAAATAAAAAGCATATAGATTTAAAAAATAAAACTATCTCATTTGCAGATGACATGATGATTTAGTTAGAATACCCTAAGAAACCTACCAAAAAGATCTAGCACTTGTAAGTGCATTCATCAAGTTTGCAGATTAGGAGTCCATACAAAAATTACTCACAGTTCTATATACTAAGAAACAAGCATATGAAAACTGAAATTAAAAACACAATGCCATTTAGGAGTATCTTCCCAAAATGAGTACTTAAGTACACTAAAAATAATTTATAGATTCAGAATTTGTATGCTAAAAGTCAGAAAACATTGGTGAAAGAAATAAAAGATCTATATAATGAAAGATAACCTGTGATGGTGGATTATAAGATTCAATGCAGTAAAACTGTTACTTTACTGCAATCTTTGGTGGATTTTCTATCAAAATCCCAGCTAGGTTTTTATATATACATATATAAACAAACTATTTTAAAATTTATATGGAAAAGCATAAAACCTAGAATCATTAACATTAACAATATTCTGATTAAGCTTGTGACATTGCTGCAGCAATTGAGATACAGTGATCCTGGCAGAGGGGCAGGCACAGCTCATGGACTAGAAGAGAGAACCCAGAGGAGACCCTCAAAAATATGTGGAAATAATTTTCAACAAAGGGGCAAAGCAATTTGATGGAGGAAAGATCATCTCTCCAACGAATAGTCCTAGAGGCACTGGACATTCACTGACACAAACAAAAAGAGAGCACAGCAAAAAACCTCAACCTAAACCTCACATATTATGCAAACATTAACTCAGAATGGATCACTGTCTTAGGTGTAAAATGGAAAACTACAAAACTTGTAAGAAATAAAAGCACAAGACAGTCTTCAAGACTTTGTGGGCTTCACACCAAGAAATGAAAAAGTAATAAACTGAAATGCGTTGAAATGAAAAACTTCTTTTGTAACAAAAACCCTCTAGAGAAAATGAAAAGAGAAGCTAACTTGGTATAAAGTATCTGCAAACCAGTAGGACTGTTATCTAGAAAATACAAAGAACTGCACAAACTCAATAGCTAAAGCCAAACAATCCAATTAGAAAACTGAGATGAGCAAAAGAAACGAATGGGCTTTTCAACCAAGAGAATTTACAGATGGCAAACAAGCACATAAAAAGGCCTTTGATATCATTATTCTCCAAGGCAATGCGAATTAAAATCACAATGAACTATCATTACATATTTATTAGAACAGCTAAAATCCTTTTTAAAATGTGATAACCCTAAATATAGTCCAGGCTGTAGAGGTCCTGGGTCACTTAAAGCTGGGAGTGCAGGGCTGGGGATTTAGTGCAGCGGCACAGCGCCTGCCTGGCAAGAGTGCTGTCGTGAGTTCGATTCCAGAAAGAAAGAAACAAACAAAAAAAACCCACAAAAAACCTGGGAGTGCAAAGTGGTACATCCGTTCTGGAAGAGTTGGCAATGTCTTACAAAATTAAACACGTGTTTACTATAGGACTCAGCAGTTATGTTCATAGGCATTCATCTCAGAGGAATGACAACTGTTCACACAAAAATATGCACCTGAATGTTCACAGAAGTTTTAAATCAAAGAACCTATAATGGGAAATAACCCAAGTGGTTGTGAAATGGTGAACAGTTAAACATGCGTCCATCCACACCACAGAATATTACATAGCAGTAGGAAAGCCTGGTGACTGTGGATTTACTCAACAACCTGGACAGATCACAAGGGAACTGTGCCAACTGCAAGAGGTTCCACAATGTAAGAATCTACATACATAGCATTCTTAAAATGACAAAGTTACAAAAAATGAGGAACAGCTTTGTTATTGCCAGACTTTAGGGAGTGGAATGGAGGAAGTTGGCTCTGACTACACAGCATCATGAGGCATTCTATAATGACACTGTCCTGTTCCTTGATTGTGTTGGTCATCAGACCGACTGTGCATAAGATGGTAAAATTCCATAGGAACTAAACTTGCGCTCAAATGAGTTAAATAAGTTGTATCAATGCTAATTTCCTGGTTGTGATGTTTCAAAGTAGTTTTGTAAGATGTTACCCTTGTGGAAACTAGGTAAAGGGTATGTGAGGTCTCTGTATTATTTCTTACAATTGCATGTGAATCTACAAGTACTTGGAAACAAAAATATTTAGAAAGCTGTCTCAGTGACCATCCATAGTATGACCAGGTTCTCTATATGTGTACTTGGAAGTGAAGTTTTGAGGCTTCAGGGCAGATCAGTATCGTCAGCTTTTCTAGATCATTCTGTAAAACATTTGCTGCCATTTATATCTCTACTTGATAATATCAGCTTTCAGTTCTTTACATCGCGCCCAATACTTGGCACAGTTACAATATAACTTTTACCAGTATGACGAAAGTGGAAAAGTACCTTAGCGCTGTTCCAGTTTTTATTTCTCTGCTTACAGGTAGGTTAATGTTCTTTAGGTATTTTATTAACCCATTTAGGTTTTTCTCTTTTAGATTTATAGAGCTTGTTGGTCACATATTTTACTCTCAGGAGTCTCATTTTATATTACTGAATTTGAGAACATTTTATATATTCCAGAGACTAATCTCACACTACACAGTTTACCCTCAATCTTTTATTTGTCACTTAATTTTTTATAATGGTGGCTCAGACCTATTCAGTGTTGTTCACAATGCTTAGAATGAAACATACAGAACCACAATTTTGCATTTTACCGAGACTTTCTAGTAGCTTCAGACTATGCACCTGCAGTTTTCTTGGGAGGGAAGGAGGGTGATTCTGCCTCTGGAAGCAGTCTCAGCCATCCTCTGTGCCACACTGTCCTACGGATCACAAACCTATCCGACCAGCCCCCATCTTTGCATAAGCTTCCTCGCCGCAAGAAATGACAGATTTTGGCAGATTTAAAAGCCTGTCCAGGACAACGTTCCAGCTGCTCATTTGGCATTTCCGTTCAAGAGACATCAGGGCTCCCTAATGTCACCTCCTCCGTTCTACACAGCTCCCAGGCTTCTAACAGTGCAGTGTAATGGTTCAACCAAAGTGTCTCACTGCTGAATGATTATTTATTTATTTAATTAAAATTAGACTGAGTCATTGGAAGGTCTTTACTGACAACAAAGGAAGCTGAGGAAGGGGTGATAACAAAGACAGATGACAGTGTGCTTATAGTCAAATCAATTTGAGATGGAAGCATATTTCACTGAACATGGTCACTGCTTAGTAGTGGAATTTATAGAAGAGAAATGAAGGGCATCTTCAAGGTGACCTACTCACCAAGGCCACACAGGGGAGTTAGTGTGAGCTGGCAGAATTGCCCCTGATGTGACTGCTGCCTCTTCCTAACTGTGCCCTTGAGGTAACTTACTTAACTTCTCTGTGCCTCAGCCTCCTTGCCACTAAAGAAACGCTATTAGTAGGAAGTGATGTCAAATTTGGGTCTCCTAGGGGTGTTTCGATCTGTAAATGAAGCAGTAAGTCTTTCTCGGAAGAGTCTGGTAGTGTGTACATAGTCAGTAAATGCTACCAGGTAATCAAAAGGGCAGAGAGGTAGTGGCTAATCTCCATTGTGTGATATTTTTAAAGAACCTAGAGAGAAGAACAAGTCAAACAAGATAACTCTCAACGAGCAATAAAAAATTTAGGCAGAAATAGAAAACAATCTCTGTTCTTTTCCAGCTTTTAGCAGAGATCTTAATCAGTGCTCACAGTCACTCCCATCACTGGCGACACTGGAAGAACTGACGTTCAAAATTGTGACGGAGCCAGTGAAATCAGATCTAGAACAGACAACTCAGCTTATACTGAATGTGAGACGTTAGAAAGATTTTCAAATGAGTTTGAAACAAATTGCTTTTGTTTAATCCCCACTTAAAAGAAGTGGTCATTTTAGAACAGTTAACTCCTTAGGAGTTAACTTAGTAGTGGAATTATTGTCCAATATTCACAATCATTTTTAACCAGATTCTCTCTGCTGGTCTAAATTTAACAAACAAACAAACACATACAGCTGATACGCCATCCCTCCGGCTGGTGGGATCCTGCATGGTTAGAGGATGAGCACTCTAACAGGTCTCTGGATGTCCCCTCCTATGGGTGGCTTTGTCCCAGTTTCTAGTTGGACATCCCTGGACCCCAGGGTGTAAGGAGGACCCACATCACTGGGAGGGGCCTGCCAAGAGGCTTGGAAGGATGAGCAGATTCTGGATGGTCTCCTGACCCATGGGTGACCATCTGGAAAATGCCTCCCCGAACTTGGCCAGATAAAATCTCCATAAAACTCAGGTCTTAAAATGGAATATTCCCTAAAGCTTCCTATGAAAAACTTTCTACTTCGTGTCCCACAGCCAGAACAGGAAGAAACCCCCACCCCTCGACTATCTCCCACCACTCTAACTCATGCCCCAGCCTGGGGCCTTTCACCAACACAGACAAACCACACATGCTACAGACCAGCAAGCTGCCCCGCTGGAAAACAGCAAGGAACCAGGACACCCTCTCCCTCTCAGGCTTACTGGATCAGATCCTCAGAGAACTTAAACCGTTGTCCAGAGTCCACTCCACCTTCCAAAACAGGAGACAGAAGGAGACCCAAAGACACAAGGTGCCCTCAGGAGCATTCCATAAGACCCAAGGCGACAGCACGTGAGCCCTCAACAAGCAGGTCGACCTGGGGCGTCAAACCCTGACAAGGAGGCAGTCTGGCCTTGAAGACGCAGCACAGCGGCAGCTCCGGCAGGTGGGGGCGGGTGGGCGCAGGTGGGCCTGGCCTAGGAGCGGGAGACAAGCCCTGCCAAGGCGGAAGCCAGGTCGAGTCCCCTGTCGCCTTCCTCGTCTCGCAAAGGAACCAGAGCTTCCCGAGGGAGGAGCGCAGGGTCTGGGTCGCCCCGCAGGGCAGGTGTGGCGTCAGCAAGCGCCAGGGACCGGGTCGCAGCCCGGCGGCCACCCGCACCCGGGCTCCGCAAGGCCGAGGGCGGCCCCCGGGGACCGCTGTCACCG